TCTGAAAAGAGAAGTTTTTGCTGTAACACCAGGGTAGTACCATTCACTTTAGAACCCTTCCAGGGATATCCGGGTGGCTCAGTCGGTTAAGCATCTGACTTTGGCTCAGGACGTGATCTCGGTTTGTGGGTTCGAGCCCATCATCAGGCTCTGTGCAGACAGCTCAAAGCCTGGAGCCTGCTTCAGATTCTGTGTCTCCCTCTCTCTGCCCCTCCCCTGCTCACCCCTTGTCTCTCTCTCTCTCTCTCTCTCTCTCTCAAAATTAAATAAATATTATAAAAAAAATTTTAGAACCCTTCCATTTTGGCCCAGTCTGCCAACACTAGATTTGAGACCCGTTCTTGAGCTGTGAGGTTGTGGCACAATCACCTTTGTGACTAAACTGCACACCACCATTCCCTCTCCCAAGCCCCTCAAAGTGTTTTGTCGCACTTCTCAAATTCCTTTAAAATATTCTCATTTTAGGGGCGCCTGGGTGGCTCAGTCGGTTGGGCGCCCGACTTCGGCTCAGGTCATGATCTCGGAGCTTGTGAGTTCAAGCCCCGCGTCGGGCTCTGTGCTGACAGCTCAGAGCCTGGAGCTTGTTTCAGAGGCTGTGTCTCCCTCTGTCTGCCCTTCCCAGCTCACTCTCTCTCTCTCCAAAATAAATAAACATTAAAAATTTAAATATTCTCACTTTAGAATAAAATTTGCCAAATTTAATAACCTAAATGTTTTATTATCAGAAATAATATCTTACAGAAAAGTACAATATTGGGCTCCAAAGATGGCCAACGAACTCTTTTACCCAGATTATTTTAAGCTGAACTGGAGGGAAAGTGGGGAGGCTTCAGGAAGAGGTCTTACCTACTGTCTTCAGGGACAAATAGGTAACTGGGATGGGCTGGATGTGGGGGAGGAGGGGCGTTTGGCATATTTGAAAAGGTAAGGGATCCAAAAGCAAATAATACTCTAAAAGAAATGAGACATATGGACTGCTATACAAAAATGAAAATAAAAGAGATTGAAGATAAGAAGGGGCAGAATATTTAAGAGTCTCACAAACAAAACAAAAGCATCTAAGTCTTTGTCCTAAATGCAAGGGGAACCACAAGACCAAGCAGGAAAGCTTCCAATGTTATTCTAAAATTTAGAACTTCATTACTTAAAAAAAAAAAAAAAAAAACAAATCCAGATCACCCCAATAGCCATGGGGTGGAGCACCCCATGGTGCTAGCCATGGACTGGAGCCATGGACTAGCCAAACACTAGCCATGGACTGGAGAACCAAGGTTGTCATGGGAGCGAAAAGTAGGGAGAGAAAAGGCTCAGAAAAAGGTAGAGGTATATGATATATGCAATCAGATACCCCCAAAGGCTGAACAGCAAAGTGATTGGATTTGGTCAGGAGACCCATCAGCAGCTGAAGTTGAGTTTCTGAGAGTAGAGTTGAGATGAACAGTCCTTTGAGAGAAAGGGAAGAAAAAGAAGAGGGTAGGAGACTATCAAGTTGAAATGTTTAATCATGAAAGGATCACGAGATGATGACTGGAGGACTTACAGGGTCCTTATTTCTAAGATAAGATCTGAGCAACTTATAAAGGAAAGGGCCTGTCCCTGTATCTCCTTAGGTCAGAGTGTAGTCTCACCTCCTGATGTAAATATGGGCAAATATCCTCTTGAATTGAAATAAATTCTCTGAAGTTAAGGAAATAACTATCAGTTTCCTGGAATTGGAAGAGTGTGTATATGACTAGGAGATTTATCGTGTCACCAGGAGACAAATCTTGGGAACCACTGAAACCAGTCAAGGCACACAAAATAGAGGTGTATTCGTTTCCTAGGGCTGCCATAGCAAAACACCAAAAATGAGGTGGCTTCAAACCACGGAAACCCATTTCCTTACAGTCCTGAGACCAGAAGCCCCAAATCAAGATGTCAGCAGGGTTTGCTTCTTCCGGAAGCTCTGAGGGAGAACGCGTTCCGTGTTTCTCTCCCGGCTTCTGGTGGACATTGGCAATCCTTGGCATTCCTGCTTTGTAGATGTGTCAATCCACTCTTTACCTCCGTACTCACATTACCTTCTCTTTTGTGTGTCTCTTTGTTTCAAATATCCCTTTGCCTTTCTCTTATAAGGACATCTGTTATGGGGTTTAGGGCCCTCCCTAAGTCCAGGATGATCCCAACTCAAGATCTTTACTTACAACTGCAAATAGCTTTTCCCCAAATAAGGACAAACTCAAAGGTTCGAGGGTTAGAATTTGGAAATGTCTTTTTTAGGGGTCACTACATGTATGTAACAGCACATCTCAGTAGCTAGTAGGAGGCTTCTCAGAGGAGATCCATTAGTGTAACATGAGAAGAACTTGGGGCCAGACATCCTGGGTTAGACCCAGTTTCTACCTCTTAGCAGCTCTATAGTTGTTTTTTTTTTTTTAATGTTTTTATTTATTTTTGAGAGAGAGAGAGAGAGAGAGAGAGTGAGTGGGGGAGGAGCAGAGAGAGAGAGAGAGAAGGAGACCCAGAATCTGAAACAGGCTCCAGGCTCCAAGCTGTCAGCACAGAGCCGGACCTGGGGCTAGAACTTGGGACCAGCGGGATCACGACATAGGCCGAAGTCAGACGCCCAATCGACTGAGCCACCCAGGCGCCCCAGCAGCTGTATAGTTTAAAAACCCCGTGCCTTGGCTTTTCCTATCAAAATAGTCATAGGGTTACTCTGAGTAACCTACTAATACATGGCCCCCGACTAAGTCTTGAATAAACGGGGCTTTGGGTCCTCTGCTATGTAAGACTTTAACCTGTAAAGAGATTGTCTCCCTGACTGCTTACCAGTCAGGTACTTTTGAGCAAAATTAAGAATGAAATCTCAGGGGCGCCTGGGGGGTGGTGCAGTCGGTTAAGCGTCCGACTTCAGCCAGGTCACGATCTCGCGGTCCGTGAGTTCGAGCCCCGCGTCGGGCTCTGGGCTGATGGCTCAGAGCCTGGATCCTGTTTCCGATTCTGTGTCTCCCTCTCTCTCTGCCCCTCCCCTGTTCATGCTCTGTCTCTCTCTGTCCCAAAAATAAATAAACGTTGAAAAAAAAAAATTAAAAAAAAGAATGAAATCTCCAGTTTAAATCATTCAGGTAACATTAGTCATACATAGATTTCTGTATATATATGTTTTTAAAGACTATTAAGACTATAAAGACCATTTAAAGACTCATGGAGGGAGAGATGAAGAACTGACCTTGGGGAAAACATGTTGACATTTATGAAGTAAGTAAAGTACAATTTAGGCTGATAGAGCCTCAAAAATGTTATCCTTTAGTTATCTATAAAATAGCATGTATTTCTTTGGGTGGACTTGGTCCTTGAATTTAAAAAGCTCAAATAAATGGATGCTTTAACAACAGAATTAAGCTTTTTTCGGGTGGGAGGAATGTACTAGTCAGTGAATGGTCTTTTTTTTTTAATTTTTTTTTTCTTTTATTTGTTTTTGAGAAAGAGCGTACAAGCAGGGAAGGGGCAGAGAGGGAGGGGGACAGAGGATCTGAAGAAGGCTCTGGGGCTAAAACTCACAAATCCCGAGATCATGACCTGAGTCGAAGTTGGATGCTCAACCAACTGAGCCACCCAGGCATCACAGTCCATGGGTGGTCTTAACACTATTACAAAACTATGAATGGCTCGGCTGTGCCTCTGGTCTTCAGTCTATGTAGAAGGTTAAACTTTCTCTAGCTCTCTCAGAAGCTGTGTAGAAACTTTGACTCCTGGGACGTGAAAAAACCTTTAGAAACATTAGTTCACTTCCGTGTGTTTACAGTGACTGAGTTTTTCTGTTTTACCTACCATGATACATAGAGAAGTTTTATAAGAGCACATACCACAACTTCCTTGAGGATAATAAGGCTAAATAGTAGCATAAAAGTATTTACGCTCAATGAATTGCACAATAGACATCCCATAAATACATTCATCCCCTGATACGTTTAAGTGTTAATGTCAAAAATGCTTGTCTTTTAAAGTATAGCGGTTAGATAGCCCTGGAAACCATCTCCAGAATCCTAACACATAAAAAAATCTATATTTATCAATGGGAATAAGATAAAGTTTATAACGCTATTCCTGACACTGCCTTTGCAACTAAATGGGTTTTTGAAGAACCAGGATTCATTACTGTCCAATTTGAAATGCCAAAATATTTCTGTTTTGCTATGAAACCCTATTTCTGTATGTGTGACACATTTTGATCCCTACCCTTAATACTAGATTTTTATGCCAAAATTCCAATGCAAACTACTTAGGTAGGTAATCATTAAATGTTACTAGATTGCTTTAAAAAAAAATCTAGGGG